CTTAAACGAGATGCTAGGGCAGCTGCTTCCAACACAGAAGAGATGTTAGCTGAGCTTCTACAAGGCCAGTTATGGGTCACAGAAAGAATCCAAGAACTACAAGAAAATAAGTCTTTAGAAAGGAACAAAATCACTAAAACAGCAGTACAGTTTGCCACAAGATTAGAAGCTGAGGCCCTCCATAACATTCTCTCCACCTATATGCAGCCACATAAACCAACACATCCACCCTGATAGTTTAGCCTGCGGCTGAAACATTGTGTAGTTCTCAGCTCTTCCTTCCAGTGCACGTTAAGTGTGAAGAATCCTGGCGCTATTAGAAAATTGCATGAATAAGACCCAAGAGAGGGAGACCATGACTACACTACTAGTCCTGGCCTCCAGCTCAAGATGACTGCACAGAGTTGCCCTGAGACAGATGGTTCTTACACACGCTCACCTGAAAGCCATGTGAATGAATGGCAAAATACTTACCTCTCTCTGTCATTATGACATGGCCCAAAGCAATTGGCAGCTGGCCCAATTTTTATTTGATAGATTATTTATCAAAGATCAGACAAAGGATGGGTCTGTTCCAGTAGGGCAGCTCCCAGGTGGTACAACTTCATTAAAGTTAATAATAAAATTGCTGCTGGAGGGTTACCCCTATGGCTCTGAAACATCTCCTTCTAACACGGGCTGAAGTGTCATACAGGTTGAAGAATCCTAAAAAAATGGGTCTTCTTCCCACCCCACCTCACCTCACCCCATCTCCCACCATGAACACTGTGCACTGCAGGAGGATGTTAAATGTGCACCAACACTTGCTGAGTACAGAGCAACTGCATACATGAGTGGCCAGCATCCAGACCCTCTTCTAGAAGACAGCGAGAGAAACCCTGCAGGCCATGGGGAAAAGCCTTCCTGCACGTTTTACACCAAAACACATAATCAGGAGAATGAGTGCCAGATACTTCTAAGGAGCAGCCATGCACAGCTGTGGAGCTGCTGGACACACCTGGTATCCACTAGGCATCATCTGAACAGAGCTATCCCAGATGTCCTCATTGCTGCCAAGGAACCTGTGACTGGCCCCAGCAATGAGCAGGCTTGAATGTGGAGAAGGTTAGGTGGGCTCAAACTCAGAAGAGACAAGAAACCCTGGAGCAGTCAATGTGCGGCCAGCATTGAGTGACTACAACATAGGCAGTGAGTCCGGCGCTATGAATGTCAGCAGCAAATGCCATCATCCTGTACCTCAAAGCATCAGGGTAAGGTGTCTCATTTGAGCTGAATGGATTGTCCTCCACTGAGACTTTAAACTGCAAGAAATTTGCAGGCACACCATACTCTCTTTTATTTCCCTCCCAGCCAATGCTACAGGGAGAGACTCTCTCAAGTAAGATACTTCATTTGCTGTTGATAAGTTTTATGTCCATGCAGACATCCAGTAGTCCCCCACGCACTGCTGGCTTTTCAGCTCTGACTCAGGGTCTCTTTTCAGCAGGGAGCTGAATGCCACGCTCTTACTTCAAGGTTTTCTTGACACCCATGAGTCATTTGCCCTTCTCTGACATGCATGAGGGAATCCAGACGATTGGGCTGTGCTAGCAAAGTCATCAGCCTCCAGAGGCAAAAGCCACATACATTCACGAGAGAGACTCCTGCCTCTGGTTGTGAAACTCACTTCTAGAATCAGCATATTCCCCCACCCCCAAAAAAGGTGTTCCGGGAATGGAGACTCCTTGACATCTAGTGTAATTAACCCTTTTCATCCCTTTCTCATACCCAGTGGCTTCATGTTCACCTCTCACCACAGACAGCATTTTATCCCTTAGTAACCCTAGCTCTGCCTTAGCTTCTTTTCTTTTCTTCCCACATATGTTCTGACATCTTACAAGCTCTCACCGAGAGAGGGGTGTCTCAGAAGAGATCACACCATGGTTATTGTGACCAGGAATCATAGGACCGTCCACCTGGGATCTTCCAGCCTCTTGCCTTAGCAAGGACAGGTTTAATCTCAGGGGACACCACACAGACCAGAAACACCCCCATCACCGCTCCCTTGGCCCAACCCCGCTGGTGAAGTGGCCACCACTTCCCTTTCTATGAGCCTGTGGCAGGGGTAGGTCAGCCTTGACCTCTGCCTTGCCATGGGGCGAAAGCAGCCCATTTCACTGGCCAAGCCCAAACCCTTGCTGTTTCTCACCCTGTGGCTCTAGGACAGGGGCAGTTAGGCTCCACAAAACACTTTCTCCCTGCCACTACAAGGCCATTTCCAGATTCTCTGAGGTCTGCAAAGCACAGCCTCCCTCCTGTGCCAGCACTGAATTGCCTCTGTCTGAAATGACAACTGGTGCCTCAGCCATTTGCTCAGTCCTGAACGATGAGATTACCGCAAGGAAGGAAAATAAAATCCCAGCAATAGCTTGTTTCCTGTCCACCGGGAGAATCCAGTGACTTCGCAAAGAGACAACTGAGTTCCAGGCACCCTGCAGCCAGCCAGACCAATGAGTCACTCAGGGAGCTGGGGCTAACAAGAGCTGTATGCCTATTTAACCTATCCCAAGGTACTACCTGCTCTCAAAACATGCAGGGATGTTTGCTGAAGCTCTGGGAATGCTGGGTCCTCATGGGCATCCTTCAGCCTCCTGAAAGAAGTTTGACTTAAATACACTCTGTGCTTTCTGCTTCATAAACCTCTCTGCTGTACTCAGGCATAAAACAGTCCAGGCTGGGAGGCACTGAGACACATGAGGAAAAGGAGAATGGCTTAGTGTCTTGGAGAGAGACAGAAAAACCTTTCTGGCAAAGGACAGTCCTATAGGGATCCATCGTTGCTTCATTACTAGCCCTATAAAAGTGGTAGTAATTCAGCCAAGAGGCCTCGGATATGCTGGTAAGAACAGCTCCCTTGCTTCCCTCTAGCAAGGCTGGGACCCTCAGTGGGGACAAAAGTCCTCAGGCGACTGGCTGAATACGAGGAAGACCCTGAGGGAAGCAATCCCATGGATGGAGCAGCTGATGCCAGGGGGAGGGGGAACCATGAACACAGAAGTGCCCAAGATCTGTCTTCCCCATTGCATAAGCATTGCAGTGGCGAGAATTTGAGGGACAGAGGGTAAACATGCTCAGCCCTTGCGTGCAGCCACCCTCTGGGGTGTATGGTGCTGGATAACATGACCTTTCTCCTTATTCAGACACAAATCCTGAGCAACGTGGGTGACTCCCATGCTACGAGATTTTTTCATTAATGTAACAGAATTTGCTGCACAGCATTTAATGGCTAACAAGGAATCCAGCCAACAGGGAGCCTGTGAACCTGCTTGGCTGTGATGATCTCCCATTTGGACTCTCTGATGTGTAATAAGCTGGTTGGACTCTCTGATGTGTAATAAGCTGGTGGAGCTCATCTGCAGAATGCAGTGCAGACATTCATTCAGGTCTCTCTCCCTCCCTTCCTCTTCTTCCTATACCACTTATAGAGTTAATGAGGATGCAGTTGTCATAGCGCGATCACACAAGCTTTGTTTACTTGGGGAAATCAAGATAAAAAGAAAAGAAAAAAACCCCAACCTTCTAAAGTCTTTAAAAAAATAGCTGCCTGAGACGAGCCTCTGGCTTGGTGGTTCAGGAACAATCAGTGCTTTCTGCTGCACAGGAATCTGTGGGAGCTCTGTGGTGCAGAGAAGGTAAACAGGAGAAACTTATTCACTGCCTCTCCCATAAGCGGGAGGGCCGAAATCCTCAGGCATGTGTTTAAAAATAAACAAAACAAACTCCCCTTTTTTAATACATAGTGCATAATTACCTGGTGGAACTCATTGCCAGAGGACAATGTAGACAGCAAAAATATAAGCAGGTTGCTGTTTATGAGCATGATTTACAGCAAGTCTTGTTAAACTCAAAAAGTTCAGGACTGTCACCAACCCTAGATCTGGGCCAGTGTGGCTGCATCTAGCTGAGGAAACCTCCTGGAAACCTCTGAGGGTGATTAGTGCTTCCTCTCTGGGTACCTGTTCACAGAGTGCACCGTCCTCTTGGGGAGTATTTTTTTCCGTTGTCCAGTTGAACATCCCAAGTCACAACTGTGGCCGTTGGCCCCTGTTTCACCATCTGCCACTGTTGAGAAGAGGTTGACTGTTGTCTTTGTACCTCACCTTCACGTAGCTGCAAGCTGCTATGAGATCTCCCCTTAGGCCCTACTGTTGAGATAGTTTCTCAACAAGTCTCAACCTTCCTGATTACCAGAAGCTGGGAGAGCTTCTATGCTTGGATTCTCAAACCTGAAGAAGGCAACAGGTTCCTGGTAGAGCTGTAGCTGTCTCCTGCCTCTGCCTCACACAGCAATTTGTGCCTGTGGTTCTTCTTTATATGAGGAGGCTCCAACAGAGATCCCAGACCCCTGGAAGCAAACACCTTTGGAAAAAGTAGTGTGTAAAAGTTACCACCAAGCATCATTGCAAAAATACCTTCAGATGGGGTGCGAGTGAAAAGTTAGGAAAGGAGAACACTGACCAGTAACAATAGCCTTTGTCAAGCCCCTTTTTGAGATGCAAGCTGAGGAGAAACACCAAAAGTCGAAATTCTCTGTACAGCCAACGGAAAGCAATGGACACAGCTGGCTGTAGCTGTATGTTCAGGAGTATAAGCACTTGCATCCTTCATAAGGACGTCCATCAGTCCTTTTTCAGCAACTCTGAGTAGTGTTCACATCACGTCCCAGGGCTCTGCTGGTGAAGACTGAGCCCCTTTTCAGCCTGTCCCTGTTCAGCCAACTTTCAGCAGCTGTCTATCGTCTTCTTTATTATGCTCCACTTTTTGCAAAACTGGGAATTGCTGAGCTCTCCATGTGGCACAGAGATCTGTCAGTGCTGCAACTGTTGGGGAAGATCCACTGTTCAAGTTATCCTAAATGCCTTTGCATGAGGTCTTACTTGCTACAAATGAATCAGGGAAGAATGAAGGACACCAGGCTCATTCATGATTCTTTAATTAGTAACAGAACAAAAATGCTTGGACTTTTATTGATTATTTTACATAGAAAATATTGGAATGATGTATTGGGTGCCTTTGTCTCCATTTTGCTCTTTTTTATTTCCATGTAAAAATATACATCTGGTACACAAGATTAACAAAAATAGATTTTCACAACAAAGTAAGTGCTTTGAGCACTAAAAATCCATTTGTGCACTTTAATGCTGGCATTATATTTACATTTTCCAGCCAAACCCCTCCCTTCCTGAAAAGTGGGCAAACCCCTGATTATAAATATTGGCTGTGTGTAGTATACAAAACCTTTCCAGAAAAAGGCCTGGAAGCACAAACATAACAGCATTGTGGCTCAGACAATTTGATTTTAACTCTCCAAAATAATAAAAAAAGACTTCACCGCTTGTCAAAAGGAGAACGTCACAGGGAACACAGCAATAGTTAATAGACGTTGCAGGCCTAAGAGGGAGAAATTTTGAGGTGTGATACTAACGCCTTTCAAGGGAATAATGACACAGATCAGGTAGAGATGGTATGGTTTCTTTCTCAGGCTAAAGAAACCCCAGGCAACAAAGTTTAAGTAGAGCAGATCTTGTCTTTTTGGAAGAACAAGGTAGATCAGATGTCTCTTGAAGTCCCTCCCAGCCTAATTAACTACGATGTACAAGTGGATAATGGGAAGACAACAATTTCTACAGTCAGCATCTGCTGGTTTTGAGGCAAGACAACATGTCAGAAAATGCTGCTTGTTTTTTGGAAACAGTTTCTTTCCCTCACTTTGTATCATGATTTCTGAGTCTGGAAAATACTCAGGTAGGCAGGGCTGATCACACTGAAAAGTGACCTAGTTCAAGTCCATCTGTCATGTGGCCATCTAGTCATTAGTCCAAGAAATGTTAGGTACATTTTGGAATATCATGAAGTCTGCTTTGCAAAGTGTGAACATTTCCTGGGGGAAAAAATGGTCCCTTTAATAAAGCAGGGATTGGTCAGGGCAGAGGAGGCATTCATAACTCGTGGTTACAAATGTTACATTGGCTATTATGAAGGCAGTTGGGATCAAACGTCACCAACTTTGCAGAGCTGACCTCAGATATTATCACAAACCCAGTCCATATGAGAATAGTAACAAGCATTACTCAGTAGCCAAGTTCACACCTGCTCACGAGTGACCTTTGCTACCAGGATCACAGTACCCTGTGAGCAGGTATCACTAACAAAACACTCAGATCCTTATAGCTGAGGACAAAACAAGAGGAAGGGTAACTGAAGGGATATCACCAGACATAGGGCTAAGGCCAGAGTGGGTAAAAGAGCCAAATTTGCCTTGTTCTCCAGTAGTCAATGGCTTTCTAAGACAGTAGCCACATGACAGAGGCTGGGATGTATTAAAAAGAATTGTCCAGAGATGTTGAACAAGCTTAGGATTCAGCCCTGGCCTGAAGAGGCTCTTCTGCAGCGTTCATAGTTCAGTGGACTGAAATAATCAGAGTGAGTTCTTCAGAACAGATCTCCCACCATACGGTGTCTTGTCCCACTGGAATGAACTACCTGCATTTGCCTGCTGAAATCACTTCAGTGGCAAATTCGTTCTGTCATTTCTTTCTGCATTGAAGGGGGAGAGAAAAGAAAGAAACAGTAAATACAAAAACTGGATTTGAGTAAAGTGACATGTAAGACAGTTTGGTAGATATCCAAAAGCAACCCAAGGAAGTCACCATGGAAATTTCAAGGAGAGATTCCCTGTTTCCCATGCTAGCCCTCCTGGAACCCCTCTGCTTGTCTCATCTGCTTTTTCCTGGGATCCACCTCAGTCTCTGTGGCGCAAGGTCATTTTGGCTGTGCCCTAGCCTTGAAAGCAGTCCAAGGAAAGAGCACTGCCTGAGAAGTCAAAAGATCCAGGTCCTGCTCCTGACTAACCATGACCCCTGCCTTCTGGTACCCCTAAGACATAAGAAACAGGGTCCACTAGCCTGATCAACCTCTCCATCAGTTGTTCAGCACCACACACTCACAGCTAAAGTCCCCTCCTCTCAGTCACCACTCCTGTCATTTCTCCAAATGCTTCATCTGCAAACCCTAGCCCTGAGCTAGGTGCTGGACACAGGCTGAAACAAGATGACAACAGCAAATGCTGCTTAGGCTAACAGACTGTTTTCTTTAGCCAGCACTGCATCTGCCAGTGCCAGCTACATTTGAAAGGTGCCCAACTCCAAGCTAGTGGAAGATAATATTGTCCTTGCCTTAAGGAGTTCAACTAATAGCTTCCCAATTGGATACATTGCTGCAGTGAGGAAAATCTTTGTTTCACTCTGGCTCATCAGGTTCACAGTCTGTGAATCTGCACGTGCGCACAGATAACCTTCCCCCCACCCCAAGAAAAGTTTGAACATCTTAAAATGTATTCTCAAAATAGATCTGAAGTCTATTGGCCTCTTGCTCCGTGGAAAAGGAAGAATGTGACTCCAAGAAGTGCAGGACTAGAAAAACGGGATGACCCTTGAGTAAACCCATGAAAGGCCCTTTAGTGCTATAATGAAGCTGGGAGCGGTAATCTCTGCTCTTCAGTGCTGAGAGCTTTATTTTTGAAATCCATCAAGGAGAGAGTGGCAAAGACAGGGCTTCTCTCTAGATGACATGTAAAATCACTCAAGTGCAGAATGCTGCCATCAAATGAAAAACAAATACTCTACCACAAAATCATTTTACGAATGAGAAGTGCCTACAAACATCTCAGAAGCAAAAGGAAGAGGGGTGAGAAGAGTGTGAATGTCCCTTCACAACAGCATTCAGCCCACCCCACTACTGCAGCAGGGGGGCACCATGCACAAAAGTAGCCTTGAGTGGGATAGGTTGGGGATTCCCAGGCCACCTACAAGCTCCTCAGGCCAGCCCTGAATACCCAGGGCATTCATCACACTCTGGAAATCCCCCTAGCTCTGCCTTGGTACGTAACCATCTGGGCCAGTGCTGCTGCCAGTGCTGCTGCCCAGTGCTGTGACCTGCCTTCACCTTCCTCTAGAAATGAGTGAACAGCTTCTCTCAATGCCCTCATTTCTTGATTCGGTCTTTGTTAGGAGAGTGAATCAGTGCCTGCTGCTAGCTCTGCCCAGACAAAGGATCTATCTCATTCTCAGCTCCTGGGATTTGCTACTAAGCAATCACTTCCCAAAGAAGTTTGACAAAAGGGAAACTGAGGCAGCAAAGGGAGATTTACCAAGATGCAGGCTTAGAAACCAAGAATCCCTTCATCCCATGATCTCTGTAATTTTTCTAAGCTATTTGGGCCCAGAGGACATTTGCTGGCTGAGGAGATGCTGTTTATTTTTTTTTTCTTACTCCTAAATCCCATAACTGGGGCTTCCCAGTAGAAAGTTTATGCCCCAACCATAATAAGGCACTGAGACCTGCTATCTCGCTCAGATTTTCTCCTTCTTCATGCCCATATGCTTGACAGCCTTCCATAGCCATGTGCAGGGAACAGGCATCTCTGCAGGCAGGCATTTTCTCTTTCATGGAATTCATGTGGGCTAACTCTGACCATCTAAATGCTAGGTTAGGCCAGTCATCCAGGCTCCCTCATGAGACAACCAAGAGAGACTGACACTCTCAAGGACAATTCATTTCATCTCACCTGAAAGATGGATCACCTTTCCACAAACCTCGAGAACTAGGAAGGACTGGACCCTGTCATCTTAGCCACCCTAAAATAAAGGAAGATGCAACCCACTATCTGTCCTTGCTTATGTGTCAGACTAGCTGAGGAATCCTTCAGGACTTAAAAATACCTAGAACCAGGGAGATAGCCAATGGTGCAGCCCAATGAGAAGAGGAATGAGCAAAGCAAGTTACTGGCATTTTGTCCTGGACTGGTGAGAAGTAATTTGCCAAAGGAAAGTGGGCTGAGGTCAAGTGGAAAGTGCTGCAGAGGACTGATCCTATTATTTGTGCATCCTGCTGATTTTAACACCATGCCCCAGATCCCCACACATGCTCTGCAACACAATGAAGCGGAACCAAACCAGGCTCCCGGGGCTCATTCACACACTACTGTGATGTTCATAAAGAAACTTCCCGTTATTGTATCTAAGAGGGAAGAAGAGCAGAGGAAGAGATTGTTACAGAAAGGTAACCTTTACCCCTTGTCCCTTTTGGTCTCCTGGTCTTTGATAGCATTTGAGGTAGTAGGTGGAATAAAAGTTTAAAAATTCCTCTATTACACAAGCTTTTGCATAACTCCTCTGTCTCAGCCTGAGAAGGCTGTCACAATCCTCTGCTGGCCAAGTAGCTGCTTCCAGCCCTACAGATTTGTGGCCAAGTCTCACCTGCAGCAGTTAAGTGCCGTTTTCCCCGCCTTCAGCAAGAAGCACTGTTTGAAGCTACTGAATCAACAGTAACCCATGCAGACTTTGGCACTGATGGCAGTGCCAAGCTGCAGCCTCCCTGGGAAAACAGAGCGGTCAGAAGGAAGGGAACCTGCATTCTGTGAAAAGGGTCCTGGGATCTTTCTGGATCCAACAGAGATGCTAATTTTTTCCAGCTCTTCAGGGGATCGAATTGCACAGGAATCAGAGCGTGGGCCTGTAATTGAAAGTGAAGGGGCTTCTGTGGCACAGCAGAGCAGAGCTGCTGCAGCTGATCATGCACAAAGTCTTGGCCATTAAGCCATGTAACCTCAGCGCAGCATAACTTGCTTATGATGAGGGGCTGGTCACAACAGAAGCAATGTATGACAGCATATGGGTCCTTTAAGCTTCAGCCCATCAGCTGGCGGTGAACCAGGAGAAATTAGGTGCAGGCTCCGGATTCCTCCCTGGCAAATCTGAGTCAGTTGTGGGCGTAGCAGCACCTGCACCAGCTTAGAGCAGGGCTATATTGTCTTGTGCTCTGTGACTCCAAATGATGTGCAGGGATAAGGGGCTGCAGGGGGACTGGTGCAGGGAAATAGGAACATGCAGATTCCTCTTGCCACGTAGACTGAAAGTCCCATCAGTTTCCAAACTTAGATCCAACCCTGTCCATATCCTTTGTTTTATTTTGGGATGAAGAAATTACAAGACCACTTTCTCCAGACAGGATTTGAACCACAAACTCTAGGGAGCAGGAGGCCACCTTTCCTGGCCCTACAAGCAGCCTGCTGAGATTTTGACAGAGATTGAGCCAAACAGTCGAGGAGAAAGGTTGTAGGTGGTGATGAGAGCAGGTCTCCAAGGGTCCCTGTGCATGGCTGGGTTTCCTGGGAAGACTCAGCAGGGTTACCTTCAAGCCCTGCTAGCTTACTGCCTCCAACAAGAATTACCCAGAAAGACCTAGACTAACACAGTCCTGCTGCCATTCATGCATCAACAGGGACAATCTTTGAAAGTTGTTCACAAGTTCCAACAGATTGTCCCTCCCGCCAAAACCCAGCAGTGCCTCCAAGACACAGCCATTGGCTGGTTGCAGAAGGTCACTCCTGCACACACCTACACCAGAGATAAATGTTCCTCGTTTCCTTGTAGTTTAGCCCTGATTGCATCACACTGGAAAACCTACTCATCTTAGATTCATCCAGACCCATAAATCATCCCATGTTGCATGTGAGTCACTAGCATTGAAAACTTATTTAGCAATGTCAACCTCTGCTTTGGCTATTAGGAGCTAATTATTTACATTAGCAAGCATCATTCAAAGGAGATGACACCATTATGGGCTGTAAATCAATGCTAAAGAAGCTTGTCATGAAGAGTGGTGATGAGGAACAGAGGACAGTGCTGCTGAGCTGCCTTTTTCTAGGGCTGAGGGTCATTGTGATAAGATAGGTCATAAACTGTATGAAGTAACTAATACAGACGCTGTTGCCTTCACGTCCCCCTGATTAGATGATCATCCTCCTTCCCAAATCAGAATTAGAGCAGACAGGCAGAAAATTGACTGAGACAAATGAAAGCAGAAAAGAAATTAAAGCACTTAGCACTCAGTCCCCTACTTTTTTCTCTCTAGGCTTAGAACCTCTTTGTCTTCCCTGGCTCTGTACTACTGCATATGCCCTTTTCTGCAGTCCATCCCCCTTATCACAGCACACTAACTACTGGGTTCCCAATTAATTCTTTTCCCTATTGCTACATATCCTCCCTAGCTCAGGTCACACTCAACCTTGCCTGTGACACACTTGCTTCTCTTACAAAACCAACTACATGTGTCTTCTAGGTTATTTGCCAGGGCTGTCTGAAATGACTCTTTCTGTCTCTGTTTGCCTAATTGCTTCCCAAGGGAGGCTGCAGGGGAACTTGTTGCTCCAGGGAAGCCTGTACAATTCAACCTCTATAGCTATTGTCTGAAGCTGTGTGCCTTGTCAGGGTTTGCCTTCCTCCAGCCTCATTATAATTCAAACTGGGACCTTAGTCCCCTAATGAGAAAACTCAGGTCTATGGAGAGGAGATTTTTGGGCCCAAGTCTTATCCCTGAAGGCCACATGGATAGAACTGGCTGGAGATACTTTGGTCTGCAAATTTCATTAGAGTTACTAAGACAGTATAGAAGGACAATATGTTACGGTGGCCCATCAGAGTGCCAAGGAGTGATTCGTGGCAATTATAACAGAGACAAAGTTTAAGGAGGGTTTTCGAAGACTAATGGGTTGGGAAGTTCTCCCTCAGAGGACTAAGGCTGATAGTCACACAGGAGAAAACATGGGCATGCTTTTGAGGTAAGGTGGATGAAAGAGTCCACAGGGGCTGACTGCAGTGGCCAGAGTCCAACCCCAACTGAATTTACCAGTGCTGCGTTCAACCCATGCCACTCTCACCCCCTCCGCCTCCCCATCCCTGGGACATCCTTACCAAAGGCTCCAGCTCCCGATGGTCAACAAGGCTGAATTCTCTGATGAAGTAGTAAAAGTGTTTGTAGCAGGTGTTGACGTGAGCCTCAGCACCCATGTTGATGATGCTGTCAAAGTGGTGGATGTAGACATGGACAAAGACACGGAAAAGGCGGGTGAGGATCTTAGTGCAAACTTGCTGGAACTGCTTGGGGAAGGGAACACCTGCAAAGCAGAAGTAATTTGGAAGCTGTTTGACCATTTACAAAAAAACACCTAGAATTTAAATGTCCTTGCCGTGATTAACAAGCAACCATGGGTGATGAGGAAGGACTCCCTTGGCTAATGTCAAGGATGACAGCCACACCAGGGAAATTTACCGTCCAGCTCTCCCAGATACTTCCTTCTTTCTCAGGTGGCAATTTTATTCAGGCACAGTCTGAGGACCTGGGGAGTTTCCCCTGGAGGGAACAGTTCTCATCCGCCACATCTGTCCACATCTGGCTGACCCCAGAGCCATCTGGCAGAGGGTCCTTCTGCCCTGTCTCTCCACCTTTCCTCTGCAAGCCTGTGCAGACACAGACAAATTCAAGATAACGGGAGACTTCTCTAACCTTGGCCAAGACCACATAGCACAGCAAAGGGTTGACCTGGGACCATGGGCATGAGCAGATTGCTGCAAGGACAGAGGCAGTTTGCCTTGAGAAGTCTTTCCCTTCAGCTCAGGTGGATGAGAACCCACAGTGAGTCATAACACCAGTCTCTGTGCCATGTCCTGTGGCTATGCATGGTCCTGTTCCCTGCCAGACCAGTCCACCTCATGCAGCCACATGTACTTACCCAGGTCCTTGAAAAAAGACAAACCTCCTTCCAGCAGGGAATAAACCTTCCCTGGGATATTCTGAATTGAAAGCATGGTTTATACTGTTCTTTCTCCAAACACCTTCAAACATCACTTCTGATGCACCAAAAGAAACAGGTGGGGTTTCTACCTTTTTTCCAGGTCCCTATTTCAAATGAGTATCTCATTAAAACAGAGTGGGAGGAAAACTGACTGGCTTAACAATGCTCAGGTTATAATTTCATTGCACCTCTATGATGGTACCTCCTGAGATGTCCTTCCAGGGTGTTCAAGAACAGGACCCACCACAGTGACTACTGCAGACTCTGTACTTTCAGCCTTGTCCCACACAAGGACACAATTTCTACTCTACGATTCCATCCTCATCCAAATACAACCCTCTGGCTATTATCACAGTGAAAATCTCATAGGTGTCAGTACAGTCAATGCCAGGAAGCTTGGGTAAATCTCCAAAGGAAACATGCCTTTGAAACCCCCAAATACATTTTTTGGAAGATGAAAAATGAAATGATTGGAATTTGTTTTCCTGAAGGTTCTTCCTCTCCTGAGCAACAGAATGCAAATTTGTAAATAGCAAAATAAAATCCTCCCTTCCCACAGCTGTACCTGCCCCCTCCCTTAGCTTCTTACTAATGCAGCACTTAACATCTTAAAAATCTTTCCAAATAACCTCCGGTCAACCATGGCCAGCTCAGGTATGTTGTGCTCTGGGAAGCATGAGCAAATCTCTTAGCTAAAACATAAAAATGGAGATTTTATCTTTGAATCTTTTTCATCAGCCTTGCTAAGCAATTAAACTCTTTTCCCAAATGGTCCTGGCTGTTTTGTTTCCCAGTAGCAGTATCATGCCCTTCGCCTCCAGAAGTGGAAAATGCAAAGGATTTTGTCCTGTTGCCATCTCTTGTGGAGCCTGTGTTTTCAATGGCCAAAATTCAGTGAGCGCTGAGCTCAGTTTCACAGTATTTATAACAGAAGATGATCTCTGGTCTAAAACAGCATCACCCTCAACCCTGCACAGTCAAGTCACCTTTTGCTTCATGCACCAAACTGGTGTGGCTGCCAGGGCAGAACCAGTGCATGCTCATGCCACAAGTGGATGGCCCAGCTGGGTCTTGGAGGAGGAGACACATCTGGGTTCAACATCACATAAACATACAGAGGCGGTTTTGAGATGATGTATAGCCGTCGCCCAGCATAACCGCAAGCACACCGTGACCCCAGGGCTGTTAGCACAGCAGTACAAAAGCCAGTGGGACCCTTGGCATGACCCATTTCCCTGCTGCTACCTCCATTGCTAGCTCTAACATATACTCTTAGGACTTTCTAGGAAAGGTATTTGCATCTGGCAAAGTACAACCAGGACCTCCCCATGCCAGCAATTTATAGATGGTACCAGGGGTCCATTTCTGCCCTGAACCTTTGACTGTGAAGCTCTCCTTGCCTGCCTGTCTGATAAGGACGGGGATCAGAGAACAGACCACTGGGTATCCCTTCATCTTGCAAAGGACTGGGTGCTTTATTGAAAGCTTCATTTGAGCTTTTTGCCCTAGGTGAGAATGTGCTAAGCAAAGAAAAGCCCTAAGCACCAAGCTGGGGAGAAAGAAATGCTGATAGGATGGCCCCTGCAGACCAGCTTTGAAGAACTAGCCAAGAAATAGTTATTTTAATAACGACAGTCCATCACAGCAAATAACGTCTAATGACCATATGTTCGCGGTGCGGCAGTTGGGGAATACACATTGTTCTGAACAGTGTGTGTCTCCCTGGGACCTGGAGACAAGTAGTTGCCTGGAACGCAGCAAGGTATCGGCAGGCAGGCAGCGTTGTGTTTGCGGTCTCCAGTTTGTCACCCGTGATGCTTGCCTAGTGACTTGCTTGTTCAGTCAAAATAAGCAATGAGGAAGAAATCAGATCTGACCAACCAATGGGAGTTTATCTCCAAACTACAAAAACTGATGGTGAAGTTAAAAAACAAACCTCCACCCAGTTCCGAGTTGAGAGAGAAATAAAATCAGGCAGTGAACAGCGAATCAAAAGGATCTGAGACACCCAGGGCTGATAGCGTCTGTGCTCCAGGTAGTGCTGTTGGATAAGCCACATCCAGAGCTGGTAGAGAGTGAAGAGTGGCTTTCCACTACTCTTGGTCCTAAGGTTAGCCAGGGACCGTCTTGACCTGTAAGTCCAAGTCTTCATGGACACACTGGCAGCTGAAGGACTTTAAGGGGCAGGCACATCCAGCTACAAGGTGTATTCTCCAAAAGCATCTCTTGCATCAGGGGACAGGGCACTTAGCACAAGTCTTTTGGCCAACAGCAAATGTGCGGCTGTGTCTAGGAAGATGCTGAGCTATCAGGTGATGCCTGAGCTATCAGGTGATGCCTGGAAAGATCTCATGGTGCAGGGGGGGAGGGGGGGGTTGCCAGGACCTAAAAGTATCCTAGTGGGGCACCCCACCACTGTACTTTCACATGAATCTAGCAATATCATCAGCTCCTAGGACATGAAGCTGAGCTGCTCTTCCTCATGTCCATCACAAGATGTCAGTGTGTGGCTGTCCCTTCCAGACATGGCCAGGCTGCAGTGGTGTCTGGCTGTCACCAATGGACTTTGATAGGTCACCCCCATGTCACGCCATCCACTATGGTCTTTTTGGACAAGGGATTAGTGGGATCCACGTCTATCCCTTTCTCCCTGCATTACCCCTCTTGATCACCCAGGGAGGCACAGCCACCCCCAGCAGCGCAAGGCACAGCGCAGGGTCATCAGATCCTGCTTCCGCTCCCCATGCTGCTGCCACGTCTTGGTCTCCTGTGCCCTAGGACCCTGAATACAGGCTGCAGCTCATGGGCTGGACCCTGCAACTGGCACAGGGGATCACAGACCAGGAGAGGCATCAGGGCATAGCTGGCCTTGTACCAGCTAGCAGGGCACATTGCCCCCAACCACACCTTACAAGAAATGCGCAAAGACTCCAGACAGGAGCCAGCCACCCAACATGGAAGACTTGTCCATCTGATACAGGCATCTTCCTTCAGCTGAAACACACGCAGCGTGGTATATGAGAGCTAACTCCTTCCCGTGTCCCTTCCCTGACCTCGAGCTTGGAACCTGTTGCTCTCTCCATTGAGCGGATTTCTGGAGAAAGTCTCTCTCTCACCCTGTGCACGTGTGGATCTCAACCCAGGGCCTGTTCTCTCTTTTAAAAGCAGGGAGACATCTCCCATGTGAGAACTGGGGATCTGCTCAGCATGGTGGCTTGTGTGAGTTGATTAAAGCACTTCCCTGTGGGAAGGAAGCAGGGCGGATATCTGATAAGCAAACTGCTCTCCGGACCTGTGCTGCTCTCGAGCTCAAAGCTTCTCTCGCCTGGCTGCTCCAGCCAGCAGCAATAGTGTCTCGCTTCAGATCTTCAACAAGTTAGAAAGCAACACACGCCAGCCCCAGCACGTGAAATGAAAGGAAAGGGCTCTCTAATAAAGAGCTATCAGCAAAAAGGTATTTTGACTAACCTAGGCAGAGCAGCATGAATATCTGGCATAACCATTTGTCCTGGATCATGGCTGCTGGCACAGTGGATGTCCAGCAAGCAACTCGTGACTTCCTCTCCAGCACACAAGATGACACAGCAGGGGATAAAGTGAGAGCAGGCCATGCTTGCTTGACATTTAATGTGCCTCCTCATGCAGGTCAGAGTGGTTAAATTACAGATAGCACATACCAGGCAAATGCGAAAACCTCATGAAAAGGATCTTGGTACTGGCCAGGCACCAGCCCTTCCCTTCCAGATGCTTAGCTTTAAATCCAGAAGTCATACCCCAATACATAACACTTCAAAGCCGTCCTAGCTGCTAAGAGGGTTCACCACGACAGCAAGCAGAGAAAGAACAGGGCCCATTTATCAAACATCCTCAGAGGCAGCCTCCTCTCACAGCTGGGCTTCCCCATCCCTGTCAGGTTAGACAAACGGTGTTACGGGCGCATGACACAGAGAGCACATTAGTCACCAATGTGCTGGCACATGGTACTTGTGGATGGAGCAGCGATGGCCCTTGGGTTTGGGGGACTCGCAGTTCTTTCTCCCTATTGGAGGTGGTGCACAACGGCACAACCTGGCAGGCTAAGCAGCCCAGTGATATGAAGGGATGAGGCAGGTGGGATCAAACTCTGGTGGGACAGACCAACGTGTTCACAAAAATTATGAGGAGGGGACCAAGGGATGCACACACAGTAGGACAATGTGAGCTCACTCGGACATTGGGAAAAACCTTTATACACAATATCAGCTCTTCTCATCCACCTGCCATCACCAGACATTATATTCAGATGCTGTAAACTGATTGGGCAACCAGCAGCTGGAAGCATC